AAGGGTATAGTGACTCAAACTGGATCTCAGATGTTGATGTGATAAAGGCCACAAGAGATTATGTATTCACTCATGGAGGTGGCGTTGTTTCTTGAAAGTCTTGCAAGCAGACCATCTTAACGAGGTCAACAATGGAAGCAGAACTCACATCACTAGATACAGCTACGGCCGAAGCAGGCTTCGCCGGCTCTTGAATGACTTGTCGGTTGTTGAGAAACCTGTACCGGGTATCCTTATGAACTGCGACAATCAAACTGTAATCACGAAAGTGAGCAGCTCAAACGATAACATGAAGTCATCAAGACACGTTCAGAGAAGGTTAAAGTCTGTCAGGAAAATGAGAAACTCCGGAGTTATTGCATTGGATTATATCCAAACATCTAAAAATCTGGCAGATTCTTTCACTAAGGGTCTATCATGTAATGTGATAGATAATGCATCGAGGGAGATGGGTATGAGACCCACAATATGAGTTGTCACAGTGGTAAGCTAGTCTATGTGATCGGAGATCCCGTGAGTTAGATGTGGAAGACAAGCTGCTGGTCAACTGAGAGGAGAGTATCCTTACTATTAACAATACCACTCCATGAAGATGCAATACTCTTCTAATCTGCATGGCAGGTTGATGTATATCTTCATGTGTTCTAAGTGGCACATTGAAGCAGAGATGTCGTCCTGCAGAACATCTTTTGAAGAACGCACCTATATGAGTCTGATTGTTAAACGTCGCAATCTATGAGAGTAGGGTTCTCTCTAGTAAACTCATGAAAGGTCTCGGAGTATGACGCACAAGCTCCACCCGCGGGGAAGACCCACGGTAGCCACGTATCGGTCAAGGCTTTATGTGAAGCTAGATTCGCAGAAAACTTGTAGTTCAAGGCCCAGTCCACTGTCCAAGTTGCTTACTAGTGTAGCATAGAGTTCTAGGTGGAAGTTCAACTTAACAGTCTTCACTGTAGTACCGATATAGAAAACAGTGTTTTGAAACCAAAGGCAAATTTTGTGTGCCTCTGGGATCAGGTGGGGATTGCTTGAATTTTGTCTATTTTGGGCCTAGCCCAATACCAGTTTCAGAAATTCCTAATAAATCCTAGAGGCCCATGCAACCCATTCGTGCAAGGCAATAGGTGGATCTAAAATTTAGTCTCACATTGCTAGTTTAAAGAGAGTTGGACCTTTTTATAAGGGAGACTCTTTCTCCATATGTAGGAGGATGAGAACAAGAGGAACATTCACGCGCGCTCCTCCTCCGTCGCCCGCCTTGCCACACCACGCCACGCCTCGTCACGACACGCCGCGGGTTGCAGGAATGAGCCACTGTCTAAATTTTTGCCACGCACGATGGGTATACGAAAGGTCACGCAGAAGCTGAAACGTTTTTGCTGTAGTGGAGATTGAATACGAACGACGCACCTCTTCGCCTGCTGCCTGTTCGTTTCGTCTCCCTCGTTCCCTTCAGTTTCTGACGCAGCCTCTCGCCTCCTTCTCTCGCGCCTATAAAAGGGAGGTCGCTCCTCTCAGAGATACACATCAGAACTTCTTCTTCCTCTCGCTACAGTTTCTAAGCACTGCGCTGCTGCTACGTTCTTCCCCATCCCGGCTTGCGGCGTGCACCGCAGGTCGGGACAGTAGGCCTCCGAAACCGCAACTTTTGAGTCCTGTACGGGAGAAGGGTGATAAGGTTTTTGGGGAGCGCTTCGCGCGACTACTGACTTATTCGTCACGGACGCCCCGGACTCCGACGACGACTTCTTCCCCGACGTCGACAACCTCCTCGACGACATGGCTGTCGAGGACACCGACCCCAAGTCCAGCGCTTCTGCTTCTGCTGTCCCGTACGTGTTCTTCTTCTTTCTATTAAAGGATCTTGTTCTAGTGTTTGCCCTAGATATGTTAGACTCTGTTTCATATATGCAACTTGGTATACTGTCTGCTCCAGATGTGTTTAGTTACAATTCATATATGAAGTTGCTGTTTACCTTCTCTTTGTCAAATCGCATGACCTGTTTTATCACTGCTATACTAGTCGTGCTTTATCTAATATTTCTGTTAATAAAATCATTCGGTAAATTGCTCATATTTTCAACATGGAGTACGTTTTTAACGGACGTGAGTAACTCATTCCCCGCAAGTCTAGCATTTTGGGTGATTCATCCATCCAAGCAAAATGAAACTCGGCCCAAAGGTGAACCCAAATGCGCGCGCACACACACAAAAGGTGAACCAAATTGCAAGATCAGAATCATCGGTCCACCGTCCATCTCATCGGTCGACCGCAGCACGGCGCTCTGCCACGACTTCCAAACACAGTGACGTACGCAACTTATACACGCCAGGGAAAGATATTCCAAAACTTTTTGGAAAAACAAGAGGTAAATACACCAGGAGTCATAGAACTTGTACGTGACGGTCAGTTTGATGCACAAAGTTGTAAAATACGTGTTTCTGGTCATCAAACTTGCACAAACGTTTATATACGGTCACATTCCATGTACGCATACATATCCGTGGCCTATGTGGCATGCCAGCATGGCCAGGGCCCATTGTAAACCCACCACGCATGGTAGATCTGTAGGCTTTTTCTTTATTTACTTATTATGCACCTATTTTTTAACTTATTAAGCCCCTAAAATAAAATGATTTTTTATTTATGCATAAAACCCCTAAAATAAAATGGAAAAATAAGGGATGGTTCGGTTACAAACTAGGGACGTGCCCCTACTAGGCTTGGGTTAACAACCATCAAACCAATGACCATTCATGTCTAGATAGCACGAATAGTTTTTATATCATATAAACACGGCCAAAAAATCAATTTTGCAAGAAATGTAACCCCAAAAAGGGAGCACCATGTTGTCGGTGGTAATGTTAGTTAACCTTAAGCACAAGGTCACATGGTCGAGCCACGATGCTCATTTTTTCCGTGTTACATTTCTTGTAAAAATTATTTTCAGTCAATGTTTATATGATACAGAAATTAGTCATGCTACATATACATAAATGATCAGTAGTCTGGTGGTTGTCCACGTGTGACTACTAGGGCACGTTGCAGCTTCAAGACCCCACATCGCTTGTTTTTTCATTTTATTTTTAGGGGCTTAATACGAAAATAAAAAAAGTCAAAGGCTTCTCTACAGATCTACATGCTACAGCGGATGACAATGGGCCCTGGCCACACTGGAATGCCACATAGCCCATGGATACGTCCGTGTACATGAAATGTGATCGTATATGAACGCTTGTACAAGTTTGATGACCGAAAACATGTATTTTATAAGTTTATGCACCAAACTGACCATCGCGTACAAGTTCTATGACTTCAGGTGTATTTACCTCAAAAAACAAACACCACCCCTGAAAACGGCAAAATTTAACGAATCGTCCTCCTCCTGGGAGGCAATTGGCGCTCTGTTCGGCGCCGCTCCGTTCTCCCCACTCGCTAGGGCCGCCAAAGTTTCCCGGCCTCCTCGTCTTCGCCCCCAATTCTCCCGCTCCCCGCCGCCGCCGCCGCCGCCGCCTCGGATCCTCG